CCATAAAAGTTGTGTTTGAAAACCACAAATTTGTAATAGATGCGCCAAGCACTTAACCAAAGAGATTGCATCTAAGGGAGTCGATTACATATCCTTATTATCTTTGTTCCCTATTTTTTATAACCCATATTTGAATATGCATGAATTTATGTGAATTAGCTATTTGTTTTTGGGGTTGGGAATATGTGTAGGTTGATTTACATATAGTGAGGGGAAATTACTTTTTGTGCAATATGTAGTTAGGGGGAGTATTTTATTTTCAAGAAATGCATGATTTTAGGGGGAATGTGATTATTTTTAAACTGTTTAGAATTTTATTCTCTCCTCTAATGCATGAGTTCTTTTGTTGCATTATTTTTTATAATGACAAAAGGAAGAAGAGTCTATGAGTATATGCTTTAAATTGTTATTGATTGATTTTTTTGATAGTATATCCTCTATGTCTTGGTCATTATCCAAAAAGGAAAATTGTTGGAATGCATGAATTCAACCCTATTTGTTCTATTAAGAGGGGTGTATTCAATTATACTTTTTAAAGATTTTTTTGAATTTTGAAAAGTTAGTAGATTTAGAAAATTCATAGACTCATTGCAGAGTTTGGCTAACTTTTTTATTGATTTATATGAACTTTCATAGACTTGACCTGACTCTTTTTATTGATTTAAGTGGATTTTTTGACAAACTCATACCCTAACCCATCAGGGCTCCTTCTAGAACTCGTTTCCTCTGTCCCCATCCATCACGATTCCACTCGGAGAGCCCACAAAATTACCCCATTCATGAATACCAAACACAGAGCAAGAAAATATAATAACTTGAACCAAACCTTCAAAATCACCCCAGAGAAATCAAACACCAATAGCAAATATCCTCAAACTTTCAAAGTTGCCAGTGATGACTTCTTTCGCACAATAGAGAGAGCTGCACAGCACCACTAGTTCCATTCTTCAATAATCCAAGAGCATTCATTTTTTCAATGACCCAACCACCATTGGTTTGTGAAATCTGGATTCGTGAAACATCCAATTTTTCTCACAACGTCGCCCATCTCGGCCTCCTCTTTGCCGGAACTGTTCCCGGAGCTGCAAATCTATCGGTGTAGTCGGGTTCAGAAGCTCTATTTTTTTTTAGGTAAGCATATTTTGGAAAAGAATCCAACAAAGTCCATGAAGTTTTAAAACTCATGGATTATTGAATACCTAAAGATTTTTTTAAAGAGTTTTTATAATCTTTATTAAATACGTAGTAACTCATTATTTTAAAAGACTTTAGAAAATCTAGACTGAATACCTTAAAATTTTACTCCCTCCGTCCCAAAAAGTTTTCCTGTTTTATTTTTTGCGTATCCCATAAAACACTTCTATCCCACCTTGAATGCAAAAAGAATTTCAAAATAGCTTCTACCTACAATAAAGAAGAAATGTTGTAAATTTTAGACATTTTAAATGTCGATAGAAGTATTTTATAGGATGCGCAAAAAATGAAACATGAAAGACTTTTTGGGACGGAGGGAGTAGAAGACTTTTGAAACACCAGATAGAATACCTCTTGATTTTGAAAGTCTTAAAAAATCCTACAAACTCCTGATTGAATACATCCCCTTAGTATTGACTCACAAGTTTTGATAATTGACAAACACAAGTTATTCTAGTCAAGAATAAAGTGCTATATTGATAAACACACAGATTTGAAGTGTCAAATCCCTTGAAGTATTAAAAAAGGAGCACAAGTTTAATGAAGACCAAGATGCCTAACAGAGCGCCAAACAAAAATGAAGAAGAAGCTAAGATCTCTAAAGATTTTTAATTGATTTGAGTCTTAGAAATAATGTAACGTTGGCAAAAATATTCTTCACTCCAAAGTTATTTTTGTGAGAGTTATATAAAAATAATATTTATCTTTGAGTCAGTTGATAAATCCTTTTTAACTTTTCAAAAATGCTTTTATTGAGTCAGTTACAAAAGGTGTATCAAACATTTATTAAAATACTAACTTTGATATTAAAAAATATTTTATTTAAATATTTAGACATCGTTTGACATACAATATATTTTTCAGACTTAGTTTTGCACCCCAACTAAATTCAAATTCAATATTTGAATTTAGATACATCTTTGGGTCTTGAATACATTATTTCAAGACATTATCTCTTGGGGGGGGGGGGNCCCATTACCCTACCTATGCAAATGTTCTTTAAGATCTTATTTTTTCTCTCCGCGCCATAAAAATCAATTTTCTTCTTTGTAAAAATCAATTTTTGCTACTGGATTCAAAGGACTAAAAAAGCAGACTTCAAAATTTGATTTTGGGGTCTATGAAAATCGATTTTTGAGGTGTATTTTTTGCATAACTCTTTTTTTGGACCAACGGACATATTTTGTTTACCATATTTAAAACACCCTTTCTTGGTCATTTTTGGATACTTGAAACACTCTAAATCACCTCATTCTTGTGGTCTTCATCTTTCATTAATTCATTCTTCAAATTAAGTTATTTTGAGAGAAAACTCTTCGTTTTCAAGAGAATGTTGTTGTCATCCATAGAACTTAATTATTTTATCATTTCTACTCTTGTGAGAGTTCTTGTTGAGAGATTGAAGAGGTTACTTTTCTTGTTGTACAAGACTTATGTGACTTAAGTCTTGTGTGTGAAATCTTGTAGAGAGTACATCTACGAGCAGTTGTGTTGATGCTTGTGGGATTCAAGTTCTCGAGAAGTAAACAGTTTGTCAAGCACTAGTTGAAGCTTGATTATTAGTGGTACCTTCGAGAGAGTCTCTCGGGAAACTGGCATAGCCACGAGGTGGTGAACCAGTATACGTCGGTGTGTTCTTTGCTTTCTCTCTTTTATTTCTGCTGCACACTCGTTTACTTTTATTTACACACACTTCTGCAAAAATCGATAAACATTCTCAACAATTCTATTCACCTCCTCTACAGTTGCACACTTTGTCTAACAAAACAGAGTTTTATCATCAAATTCCAAAATCCATCTTCCAATTTCCTCTCAAATTTTATGCTCTCAATTGTGTAGATTCTAGATCGAGTTCCCTCCTCAAATTTCAAAACCCCTCTTCAAGATTTTCAGAGCTCCCTCCAACGCGCCACTTGTACTACAATTCCCTCCTCCATCAGAGAAATCACGTTGAGCAGACGAGTGGACTAAGCCCATAGATAGGGGTGTTCATCGGTCTAAGACCGAATCGGACCAGACCGAAGACCGAAAAATGCCAAAACTTAGACCAGAGACCGGACCTAAGTGATCTTGGTTTTGAACTGGACCAGGCCGAAATCACATGGACCGAACCGAGAAGACCGAAATCACTCTTGGACTAGACTTCTTCACTCTTGGATATTATTTCTTGTTTGCAACTTATTGTCAGGATATTAGCAGTTTAACTTATTCTTGCCCTATGTGGTTGAGAAAAAATGTGGTAAAGCCACATTTGGGACTGTTTCTCTGACGATTCATTGTGATGCTTAGCTGAATATATCGAAGGAGAGAGAGCAATTGACATCAATAAAAGCAGAAATGTGGACTTTTACATTTCAGTTTGTCTACCCACATTCATTTTTTTGGTTTCGAATTTTGAAAGATATCATTTTATATAAGAATTGAAATCAGGTGAAAAGAAATAGCCTATTACCTGGAAATCTGGAGAAGAAGATGATGGAGAAGAAGATTGGAGAGGGCTGACTACTGCGGATATAATCGTACCTTCGCAGATTCGATTGAAGCCTTTCGAAACAAGAAGGAGATCGAAAATCTGAGAATTGTCGGCCGACTATGATTTTGACTTTCTGAGAACTTGAGAAGCGTCAGCGGTTCACTGACACTCAGTTCGAAACAAAAGTGTAAGTGATGAAGTGTCACTGACGATTGGGAATTGGGATGAGTATTTGGGTTCTAAAAAATGAATTTGTACAATGCACTGGACTTCTTCACTCTTGGACTGACGATTGACAATTAAAAGGACTATTCGGCCTATTCGGTCAGACTGATTGTGAATCGGGTTTAGACCGGACCGGACTGAAACCCAAAATGTTAAATATACAGGACCAAATAGAAGACCGACCTGAAATCGATTTGGTCCGGGTCCAGTCTGGACCTATCGCCGGTTTGGTCGGTTTTTTCGGTATAGACCTAAACATGAAAACCCCTACCCATAGAGGAACGAAGCTCGTCTCCTTCCTTGGGCACGAAGCAGAGCCGATCAGTACCTCTAATATTTTGAAAGTATTTTATAACATAAACCTAATAAAATTGTTGTTTTTTTATATAAATATCTAATATTATTTTAATTTATTTAATGATTAAAATTAAATATTATACGTGTTGGGACTGCACGTGCCCTCACCCCAACCCCGCATTAGTATGATATTGTCCGCTCTGAGCCAAGCCCTCACGGATTTGTTTTTGGGCACTTCCCAAAAAGCCTCATACTAATGGGGTCAGGTGAACCTATATATTTTCGTTCATTTACTCATATACTTCTGGTGTGGGACTTGGAGGAATCCCAAAAATACGTTGACTGCAAAAAATTAAAATTGAACAAATATTTTTGGAGAGATGTAGTATATGAATACACACATCCAAATATCCAATGCAACAAGCTATAGAAAAAACATTGATTCTACAAACCAATTAATAGATGATGGTACATATAATACACATAAATATGGGCATTAATCATTTCTTAATAACTAATCATAATACATCAACATACCCAAATGTCCATTCAAACTAGTGTTAAACGTCACGTAATTAGAATAATTTTTTAGAGGTATAAAGAGAATATATATAATTAATTTCTAGTTAGGACATAAGAGGTCGAGAACCACGTAATATCCAATCAACACCGGAAGAGAAACGAATGTGCCAATTATAATCCTGCACAAATAAATCACATACATTATAAAAACTACACACTCCGAGTATATAATTATTGCATCTTAATAGAATTAATAAAATAAAGTTTTGAGCATTCGTTTTGAACAAGTTAAATCTAATAAAATTTATTATATAAATCCTTCATGTTTGAAAAACGACACGCTTTTAAAATGAGTAATTTTGGTGATATTTTTTAATTTTATCTATACTTTATAATAAAGTTGGATAAGGTAGATGAGTAGGATAATTGAGTCATAATTAGAAAATAACACAAAAATTACATATCTTAAAGACACGCCTGTTTTGACTCAAAAAAATCAAACTAGACGAATACATTGGACGAAATTAATAATTAAATGGATTTAATGAAAATATTAGTTTACGACCTACGATGTGCTGAGAACATCGGCATGGATTCCATATTCTTTGGCATAAACGAATGAAGTTACAGCTTGTGGCAATGCTGCCTGTGTTGTCCGTACATATATGGAATGGAATTCACAAATTAAACATTCTTAGTTAGTAATCAATTTATTGAGGAATATGAAAATAAATGCACAATAAAAAACAGGTTCCCTTCATACAATATTAATCACATCATTATGACTTTTTGGATACATTGAAAAAAATAAATAAATATAAACATAGAGTATATATATGTGTGTGTATCATGTAGCCAGAAAGTCGTCATAATGATTTTTTAGTATTAAATGAAGTAATTAATACGGAGTATAAAACTTAATATTTGACAGGTTTTTTTTTTAAAACTTAAAAAGAAATTTTCTTTATGATTGGATTTTTTTTCTCGTTGTGACATTTTGTTATGGGAGTATATTGTTGGGAATAATAAAATTGAGTCATTTTTTTAAACAAAATTGAGTGATTTATACTCCCTCCGTCCCAAAAAGATTTACACGTTTCAAAAAAAAAATGTCCAACAATCTCCTTCCCGTTTCTATTAAAAAACTACTTTTACCCCTTATTTTTTCAAACCATATCTATCACATCATACCTTTTTCCTGATTTTAATTTTAGTCAAAGCGTATAAATCTTTTTGGAAGTATTAATTACCTGCACTATAGCAATCTTGAAGACTTCGCCGTGCAAACGCAAAAGGGCGGCGCCCATGGCGGTTGTCGCCGGTCCGACTACGAACCGCAAAACTAAACCGTATATGGTTAAAACCGGACCGCACGATATTATCTTTTCTTGTGACCCCATGAAAAGCCCTACACATACGTATGGGTCCAAAATAATACGGTGCATGCAACATAAAAACAATACCAGTACTGAAAAATGTTTCCTGTTTTGACTTCTTTTAGTCAAACAATGATAACTTTTTACTACAAATTAAACATAATCTAAATAAATAAATAATATAACAATTTGATATATTAAAACTATATCCTAAGATGAATTAATTCTATTGAATTTATATTACTCTCTCCATTTTTTTAAACACTTTCTATTTTGATTTTGAGCCAAAATAAGGAAAGTGTAATTTTGGTTGACTTTTCAATTTTGCCTCTGATGTGATGGGTAAAAGTAAGATGTGATAGTTTGGTTATTAGTGAAAAAATATGATGTGATAGGTAGGGTACGAAAAAGTAGGAGTAAACGAAAGAGGAGTATAATTAAATAAACTTTTCTCACGATTAAATAAACGAAAGTAGGTTAATAGAAAGTGGAAGTGTTTTAGGGAATTGGAAAAAAACGAAAGAGGAAGGGTTTTATGGAACGGAGAGAGTATAATTAAATAAACTTTTCTCACGATTTATGGTAAAGAGTGTCATAATTTTTAGGAGCGGAGGGAGGAATTGCATAATATCTCCAAGAGAAATTTAATCTTTAGTTTCTTTCGCAATATTATACTCTCTCTGTCTCGATGTATTTATCCAATTTGACTTTTTTGAGTCAAACTAGACAAAATTTTAAAATTCAACTCTCTCAATTTGTATTGCATGTTACTATAATGAAATAAAATTTTAAAATTTCTCAATAAGATAAATTTACTAAAATCATTTTAATATAAGTATACATGACGAGTTTTATTTAATTGAAGACTGAGATGAAGAGAATTATTACTAAATTATTGTTTCATTTATTGTACAAATGAAACAATAATTGTTTTCACCACGTCATTTAGTTATTTAAATACATTCTAGCAACTCTCGTACTCATTAGTCCAATATTTGTTCAATTTCTTTTAAATTTTTAGTAGTAAATTACAGAGTAATATATATTGATGGAAAAATATTGTCTAAAAATAATTAAGGAGTACCCTAAGCAGTATATTTATCAAAATAGATTAATATACTTCGCATAAGAAGAAAATTAAATAATAATTATAGTATTAATAATTATTGTCATTGGTTTTTCTTCTTTAAGATGGAATGAAGAATAATTTACCAGTAGTGAACATGGAAACACCACTACCAGCCTTGGACATGATCAAGATAGAATCCTCTATGATACTAGGCATGTGAAAATTCCACCTGAATTTTATTAAAATTAGAAAGATAAAAACTTAAATTAATTGCCAATATATTCAAAGAAAAATTAAACTAAGATATTATTAAAATACGAGGTATATATATATAGTATTATTTTATACCTATTGGACATAAGGGCCCAAACCAGGCCAAGAAAACATGCATAAGAATTAGGGTTCTTGGAAAGTTTGATAAACACGGCTTTGATCAACGGCTTCAACGACGGCGAACTGCTTGCCGCCGCCGCCGCCGCTGCGGCATTACTATTCCGTTCAAGATCTACCATCTCCATTTCGATGGACGGAACAACTCCATTGTTGAGATTATTATTATTATTATCGGCAGCTTTTGTCGTCGTGCTGTTGTTTTGTAACGACGACGTCTGGATCAACCTCGTACGTCGGAACTCGCACCCGAACAACAACAACGCCAGCCACAACAAAAACTATTGATGTCAAGGATAATTAAATCACATCAGAAAATGTACGTACATCGAATGAACAAAAATATATGTAGTTTGATCGTGTCAATAATAATTGTATTTTGGAGAAATTACCTATAACAGCAAAACATTATTACGTTTTTCCCTAAATAAGAATTTGCAAAAGTTTTGAATACTTTTAATTTAGAAAAAAATAACTTGAGTACATTTTTACTCTCGAATTTTTAAAGTCTCGATACCTGAATGGCAGCGGCTTGGAGAACGATGTCGTAGCCCAACGGCCCGTACATGGCTTGCAACAACGGGACACCTACTACGAGGGTGTTGTTCATGGAAGACAATGAGAAGGTCGTGAGGGACCAATCGAGGCCTCCTTTTTTGGCAAAGTTGGCCCACAGGGCAAGGGCGACAATGACCGCCGATTTCGTGACAATGTCTGAGGCAAGGAAGGGATAGTCCATCCGGTAAGGATTGACCTGAGAGAGGAAATAGAAGCTGAAGAATGGGAAGACGAAGAAACAATTGAACCGGTTTATTGCATCGCAGTGGTCCGGTTTCAAAATGTGCCACCACCGAATCGAACCGTAACCTAAGACCGTCGCCACGTAGAGTGGGGCCATGGTGGCCACCACCTTGTACACGTCATCCCAACTTATCATTTTTTCCTAATGTTTGGGTTGGTGGTAATTCTATGTGGGAGTGAGTGAATGAATGACTAGATGGGTATTATATATAGAGGAAGTGGACATGCCACTTTGTTCACCCTTTTACAGGTGGGCAATTTCGTGCATAGACTTGGGTCAAAATTGTTACATTTTGACCATCAACTAAATAAAAGTAATATTAGATATTGATACAAAAATAATTGTATTATACTGATTTTATAAAATGTTTTTAAAATACTTTTTTAATTAGTTAATATACGATATACGGAGTATATTTTATTTAAATATAGGCCAAATGTTAGAAATGATTAACTGTAAAAGGTCAAAATAAATTGAATAAATGCTTAGTGACAGAGGTAATATTTAATTCCTAACACTAAGATAAATTTTTTTTAATTTTTTTAAAGAAATAAATTTTGTGTAAAAATGTTTATATCGATCTTGTGGACCCTAAATAATGGAAGTTCTGTTATTGGCGTGTACACTAAATCAAAATAATTAAAATAAAATTTTTACTTTAATTTTACATTAAATTTACATTGGAGCCACATATAACATATTTTACTTCTCAATTAAAAGATCAAAAAAAAATGTAAAATTCCATTTGTGATAAAAATGTAAAATTTGTTTTTAGCAGATTATTGTAAATAATTAACAAAAAATTTTAAAAATATATACTCCCTATGTCCATAAAAATATGAGAGATTGTGATTTTTAAGAAATTTAAGAAAAGTGTATTTAGGTGTTGAGTTTCTAGAAACATCCTTAGATATGGTGGGTTAGAGTAGGATTTGATATGTAGATTAATAGTGAATAGATGTGATGTGATAAGTTGATTAAGATTAGTAAAGGTAAAAATGATTTTTTAATACTCACTTTGTTTCTTAAACCGGTTTCTCTTTCATTTTTTTTATTTTTCCCAAAATACTTTCATTTTCTATTAAAAAACCATTTTTAATTCTAATTTTTCCTATCTTACTTATCATATCATACTTTTTCACTAATAATCTATCCATCACATTAGGAACCATTTTATGAAACGGATGAAGTAGAATTGAGAAAACTTTTTTGAAACGGATGAAAAAAGAAAAATGAAAGATTTTCAAGGACACAGAGAGAGTATATACCAAGTACTTGGTAATTTGATTACGTGTGATTGTTGTGAAAAAGAAAGTGGACTAGGTGTCTAGGTTGATTCTTATTAGTGTGGAAATTAAAAAACTACGGGAACCTGCATGAGTAGCTTAACTGATCGAAGAAAAGGATATCAAGTCCGTTGATCCTAAGGTCGAATCCCGACAGTGACAGTGTGAGAGTTCTATTATTTGTAATAACTCCTTGTGCATAACGAGCACAGAACGTTTTTCGAAAGATCAAATTAAAATTGTATCATAATTTATCCTCATTACAATCATGTAAGTCGGAGTTTGGAGGCGCCCGAGGTGGGCGTTCCATCTTAAAAAACTAGTGGATTATTACTCTTAAAAGAAGTGTTACGTTCTTCTATTGTACATCATCATGCATCCTACATTCCTACGTATACTTGCTTTTACGGTAGAAAAGTGGTAGGGGTACCCATATGTCCTACACCCCCTCCTTGTCCACTAAAAAAGGCAAAAAGATTTTAAAAAAATAAGTAAATAAAAATCAAATAAAAATGTGCGGTAGAGAAGGAGGTGGTGTACATTTGGAGTATACCTTTTGGTGTACCCTTAGCATTGCTCTTTACGGTAAGTACAACTGTTGTACATTCCCTTTTAGTCCCACGTGGTCTATTGCATATCATCATTTATTTTTGAGTAAATTTGATTAATGGTCCATAATTATAGTTATTCTTCCATATTTAGTTTATAATTATAAGATATTACATAACTAGTCATCATATTTTTAAAAAAATATTCTATAAATGGTTTTTTGACCAAATATGACGATTTTTTTTTCACATATAGTCTCTGAAAATCGATCATGGAATAGTTTTCAAAAGTTGAATATCATTTATAAAATATCTCAAAATAGGAGGCTAAATATAGAAAAACACATGTAATTAAAAATCATTTATGAAATTTACTCTTGCAACGAATATTGTTCTTTTGATATCTATTAGTTCCATGGTGTTGGCTAATAATCTTTTGGCAAAACAGAATCCCATATTTGTTAGGTGTTTTACTAAGTAGAAACCTCTATTTGTTAAGGGAGGTTTATTTTATTTAGACTTCTAGAGTTGCTGCAGTTTTCGAGGTTGACACAGAAGATGCTACAGCACGATACTGCAACACACTGTTCGGGATCAGAGGTGTGAGCACGGGATTTTAAGCTGCAATCTGAATTAGAGATCTATTGGGATTGTGATTACATGATAATAACTTCAGCGGTACTTGTTAAGGAATCTCATCTCTTTAGGCTACTAGTGGATCAAGATTAAGGAAGTTGAGTTCAAGCCAACTTCTACTAACATATTCCTACTAGGATTGTGTCAAGAGAAGGCTATAAAAATGCAGCAGGTCCCTAGAAATTACTTGGAACGATTGAGAGGGAAAACAAAAAATATACGCTAATGTAGAGCATTCCTGTCGTGTCCCGGAGCTTCCCTTGCGTGAAGAAAGATACGATCTACATGAAGAAGGAGTCCTACAATGAAAAACAGATCGTGACAACCAGGAGGTGGACAAGAGCTTAAGGAGAGGGCTGCCAACACGTTTGTCCTCGTGATCTCGGTGGATATGTGATAGTCGAAGCGGATCTGAATAGAGTTCGGGTTAGAAATCCTAGATTAGAAGTTTTGTCATAACAATTCAGAGAAGTGTGTCTCATCATGTTGTTATGTACCGGTGTAACTTGCATCTAGTGATTTAGTGGAGGGCTATTACACGGACGTGGGCCCCGCAGACTAGGAGAGTTCTCCGAACTGTGTAAACATATCTGGTGTTTTTTTACGCATTTTTATAGTTACAGCATTCTACCCAGTAGGCGCTGTAATGTCCTTTGCACATCTACTTCTGTGTGTGCATGTGACAAAGAAGTGTTATAGCACACTGTCTATCATCTGTTACTGTGACAGTGCTGCAATATCTTCTCTGCAACATAATTGAATGATTTGTTAACATAGTTCTTAATTGGTGATTTCCGCAGTGCCCCCACGAACTTACAATATCAAATCTCATTCTTTGAAAATATACTATATATACTACATCCGTTCACCAAAGATCTTCATATTAAGCGCTATATATGAGATTTATCTAACTTTAGTTTCAAATTAATTTATTTGATCATATCACTAAAGTTAAAAATAAAATTTACATAGTAAACAACTTTATGAAAATTTCCACAAAACTAGAAGTGACAAAGGTATATTACTCCCTCCGTCCCAATTTATAGTGTTTGTTTCGTTTTACGATATTTGACTGAAATTATTTTCAAATCATTTTATATGACAAATGGCAAAAAGATACAAAATAAAAATTACATATAAAAATATTACATCAAAAGATCTACAAAACTAGTAGTGGCGAAAATAGAGAAAGAAAGTGAATGAAATTTGACCCTGTGAATAGTGAACATGCACTCTAATTTGAGACGGAGGAAGTATTTCATTAAAGAAGTATTAAAAATAAATAAAAAAGTAAGTTAAGTATACATTATGTTTTCTTGGATTTTTTTTCAAAATGGAGTTTGAGTTTGTTATTGTGGGTCCCTCACTTCAACTTCCTCTTCCATTTAATTTGATTTATATCACTTTGCTTCTCTAAATCCCCTTTCTTTATTCGTCCAGGCTTGTAAATGGATAATTTTATAAATTTCTGTTGTGAAGTACGGAGTATATTGTCTCATCCAAAGAATTTTTTGCAAATCTGTTTTATTTATAATTACTTTTATAAAATAAGCTTTGTAAAAAAGTTTTACAAAATAATATTGATGTATATTTAGGTTATATAACTTGAACAATATTTTTACCTTACGAAACACGAGCATGAATCTAGTAGCACCATAGGCATATTTGTAGAAACCTATATGAAAAATTGAAAAAAATACAATTCTTTATGGGAAAATTCTATGGTGGACTAAGGTCCATCATGGACCTACATATGAGTAAAATTAGTATTTCCTTACCACTTAGATAAACATTTATTTTTCTTAAATAAAAAATAAAAAAATATTTTTTTATAGGAGAAGATCCACAAAAATAGTATGCACCATAGAAGCACTCTGTTTTCTACTGTGTATATGTGACTCTTTTTTTAGACAAAGGGAGTAATATATTTCGATTTTGGAAATAGTAAATTGAGAATATTATTGTGGTACTAATATGGAAAGGATTTTTTAAATTGATTGTTTTTAATCTTTTAAATCGATTGTAAACCGATGCAAAAGGTAGCAATGCAATTGGTACAAATACTTTTTGAATTAGTGCTCCAACCGATTCAAAAAGCCTTACCCATAATTGGCGCGAGTTCTGGGAAGGACTTTATGAATCGATTGTTCCTAAACAGCCGATTCCGACATTTGAATCGGTTATTTAGAAACAACCGATTCAAAAAGTTCTTCCCAGAACCGGCGTCATTTTTGGGTAGGACATGGAACAACCAATTCAAAAGGTGTATTTTTTTTACAACCCATGGGATAGAGAGGTGTGTTTCTATAGTGTTTCTTAAATAATACTCCCCCCGTCCTAAAACTTTCTTCCCAGAGCACTATTCTAACTTCACGGGAATTTATATTTATTTGTATTTTTTTCATGGCCTATATGATAAAATAAAATATTCTTATCACCACTTGTTTTGTTGAACTTTTGATGTAGTTTTTAAATATGTATGTTTTATATTTTATTTCTATACCAATATTTAAACAAAATAGATTGAAAAAACTTGGGATTTTTTTCGTTTTGCGCAACGGGAAGAAAGTTTTAGGACGGAGGGAGTAAGAAATTACTTATTTTTCTCATATGTACATGCTAGATCTTAGGTCAACCATAGAATTTGTCCAACATAAGCTTGAATAGGTTAAGTGATTAAGAAAAGTAAGGATGAGTAAATTTGAATTTAAAAATTTAAAAAAAGAGAGTATAAAAATGACTGAAAGGGTAAAAAGAGTATTTTTGACATCTTCCTTTAAAAAATAGACTAAAAATGAAAATGAGAAAAATATTTTCTCATAGACCAAAAAGATAAGTAAAATGTGCATATGCAGACGGAGGGAGTACTCGTATTATATTTTTAAAAAGTGTGACTATAATTTGGGGCACCCGTTTTAGAATTTGTGACTTTAATTTTGAAATGGAAGTAGTATTTTTTTAGCAATTTTCATTAATCATTCAATAAAACTGATGGTGTAAATATAGCTGGGTGGGTTGACCGGGTCTGACCTGGAGTCTGGACACACTCGACCCGTACACACAAACAATAATACAAAGTATGACCTAGACCGGGTAAATCTCCTCAGTCCGAATTATATTTCTTACTCTATCTCAAGAGTGAACTTTAGTGAGAGAAAAATTGGATCCCCTCCTCTATCCACAATCATCATATTTATAGAGGAGGATTTGTGACCTTCCCATGTTCATCCATGGACAAAATAGGAAGCTCGTGGGAAGGTCACTGTAGTTAATGGGAACACTATACAATCATTGATTTCAATAGCTACAAGCTAAGACGCTGTTTAATCAAAGACTATAAATGGATATTCTCAATCCAATCAACCCTGCAAGATGACAAACATCCCTTTCACTGTATGTCTCGTGATGTATGAGCGGCGGGGTGTTCCCTCGGTGTTTGACGTGGTTCACCATGCCTAAGAGATTGGACCAATGTTAGCCAAGTAACGTGTCGTGACCGGTCACCTTTTTTTCAAAAGTTACCCGGTCATTTCTTGAGTTCAACCCGTCTCTTCGGTCTTCCAGAATATCCTTCATAACATTAGGTGACGATTTGACTATCGCCTAAAATGTGACCGGTCACTTTTTTAGGGAAGTGACCGGTCAATTTTTGACCCGTCCCAATCGAAGCGTTGTCCTCATTTGGTGATCGAAGAAAGTGACCGGTCATGTTTTGACCTGTCCCTTTCGGTTATCTGGGTCGGGTATAAGGATATACCCATAAAAAACAATTAATCTTCTCACATTTTTTGTAGAGAACTTCTAAGGAAAAAAAGACTAAAATAAGAGTAAAGCAATGAAATTAAACCAAAATATGAAATTCATATTTTTATTCTCGAAATAGTTAAAAAGCATTTACATTACTAATCATGATCATGTACATTACTCAAAAGTATAGTAAAATGTCCATGTAACATTACCACATTAACAACTTCTATTTAAAAAATAAAAACATCAAACTCTTATTTTAATACATTTTCTATGTTTCAAACCTTTTTTTAAGATTGAAGTGTTTTGAAGTTGACGATCTAATCCATTTCGAAAAACAATTTCAATTTTGACTTTTATCAAATTTAGAGAGTATTTTGAAGTTGACGATCTAATTTTACCTATGGACGTGATAAGTACAAATAAAAGATGATGATAAGTAAATTAATAGTGAATAAATGTGATTAAATAGGTTTGATAAAAACCAATAGGGTAAAATAAACTTTTTAATAGAAAATTGAAATGTTTTACAAGAAAAGAGAAAATGGAGTTATTTTATGAAACGGGAAGAGTATATAATTTTTATTTATTAATTTTACATCAATCCATATATAAATTGAATAGAAAATAACATCACTTAAATATCAAGGTCTAAAACTGAAACATTATGTAGAGACAGAGGGAGTATGAAACAATAGCACATACACTCGGATTTGAATTAAAATTCAGTCCAAAAAAAGGATAAATTCTCATTTGGAAAAAAACATTCAGTAACGACACAAGTTTCTGTTGCGAATGAAAAAAAACAAAGTCAGTATAGAAAACGAAAAAAACAACAAAAAACTCCGTTGCAGATAAATAGAGTTGCGAAAATTGAAGAGAGAACAAAGAAAATTGTAAAGGAAAAATGATGCATGATAATATCCATAACTAGAGATTGTAAAAATGCAGAAATATGAATTCAACCCCATAATCTGCTGATGAAGCCACTTTTCTTGTCTTTTCGCATCCTACTGGCAAGCGACGGGAAGTCGATGAGATCAAACGCCAAGTCCATGAAAATAGGGTTGCGGGCTACAGCCTCGAAGGGCGGTGGAAAGACTACAATGCGAGGAGGAGCCGCCTTCACGTTGGAGTCACCAATGGTGGATTCGTAACAATCCAATTTCTCAACCAGAAATTTCTCCACCTGAAACAGGGTTTTAAGGCAAGTGTAAGTAAAAACATGTACTCCCTCCGTCCATGAGTATTTGACCACTTTTTGACTTTTTTTTTGTCAAAATTGGCAAACTTTGACCACAAATTAAATAAAACCGATATGAGATTTTAATACAAAACAAAGTTATTAGTTTTGTTTTATAAAATATTTTCAAAATATTACTTTAACTAACTAGTATATCATACATATTTTATTTAATTATAGGCCAAAAGTTGAAAATAGTTGAGTGCAAAAATTAAAACTGGACAAATACTCAGGGACAGAGGTAAGTATGTTTCAACCTACATCCATGCATTTATGTATACTCTTTCCAAATGATATGGAAAAGGATTAAAATGAGATTCTACAAGAGTACCTTTTTCTCATTTCCACTTAATGAAATAGCTGAGATCTTTTTTGAGAGATTTTCTGGAGCCTTCTCCAGCTCCATAATTCCTCTAGCATGCTCTATGCAACTGTGGGATCTACTCTCGTCCGATAACACTTTAAGATCATTGACTATGACCTGGTTTGAAAAGGAAGGAAAGTTAATTGACTAAAGTCAGAATAAATGGCATTATCTTGTTCCATACCATCGTCTCAGACAAGTACACTGGTCACCACCCAGAAGATTTCACATGTGCCAATAAAAGATCTATTTAATACTCCGTCTGAAAAAAAGACTCCTTATGTCCTTACTCCTTATTGGGACGTCTCAAGAAAAGACTTTCCTTTTAAGGAAAACTTTGAGTAGCTCACAAACTTTCTCCCTCCTTTGCATCACTTTCAACCACACATTTTCTTTTTTTAAAAATTTTGCTCAGGTCAAACTAANAGCCGACGCCAATATGCACTCCTCCTCCGGCGTCCACTTTTGGATTGCCCGTGCCGCATCGGTCAACGTGCCTTTGGCTTTGTGGCTCCTCCGGCGTGTACTTTTTTTCGATCCGGACGGTTCCGGTTGAGTCTCCGGAACCGAATCTCGGTCGACGTACCCCGATTGTTGTGTCTCGTATATCGGCGGTCGATCTCCCCACTCTTGGTAGAACCACATCGCGGCGTCACTCGGGGGGAGATTGTCGGGATCGAAGCCGGAGCCGGAAGGATTCATGTTGAAAATTGGGAGGAGGGATTTGAATTTTGAAATTTAAAAATAAGAAAGAAGAAGAGATTGGAGAGAAGGTGTGAGAGATTGGTTGGGGAGGGTTGAATTTATAGGAAAAAAATTTTTTTTTTTTTAATTTGGGGTGCAACGGCTATTTTAGCCGTTAGGAGGGAGCAGCGCCCAACTCACGCCCCGTCATTCGTTTGACGCAGGCGCCCTCACGCCCGTTTCACGCCGGCGGGGGGCGGTGTTTCACGCCCCCGGGGCGTTAAACGCCCCGTAACGCCGGTGGGCGTGAGGGGTGTTACCAGTGCTCTTAGGGGTGATTGGTGTGAAAAAGAAAGTGGACTTGGTGTCTAGGTCGACTCTTATTTGTGTGGTAATTGAAAAACTACTAGAACCCCAATGCCTAGCGCAACTGATTCAAGGAAAGGATATCAAGTTCATTGGTGGTACGAGACAATTTTTCAAAAGACTAAATTAAAATTATAAGAAATTTATCATAATAGGACTAAAACATAATTACTTTTTAAATATAGAATCATACCGAGTATATTTTTGCACATCATCATGCATCCAACGCATACTTGCTTTTACGGTAAGTACAGCTGTTGTACATTCCCTTTTAGTCCCACGTGGTCTATTGCATTTCATCATTTATTTTTGGGTAGTTTGATTAATGGTCTTTAATTATAGTTATTTTTCCATATTTCATTTATAATTACTACTTCTGTGCCACTCTCTTTGTCCACTTTTGACTTTTGGAATTGTTAATTTAAGTACTTTGACTCATCAAATTCTCTCAATGTGTAAGCCTAAATTTTGTCTTAACATATAGATTATTAATATATAATTTCTATAATTTTTTAATATACAAATTACAAGATAAAATGGATTAAAGAAGTGCATTGGATGGTGTGCCAAAAGGTAAGTGGACAAAGAGAGTGAGACGGAGGGAGTATAAGATATTACATGAATGGTCATTATATTTTTAATAAAGTATTCCATTCTTTTGGCCAAATATGATACACTCCATCCGTCCCATGAAACATGGAAGTTTTGCTTTTTAGGAGGAATTTAAGAAGAGTGTATTTTGGTATTGAATTTCCAAAAATGTCCTTTGATGTGATGGGTAAAAGTATGATTTGATGGATAGATTATTAGTAAAAAGGTATGATGTGATAGTTAGGGTATCAAAAAGTAAGGGGTAAAAGTGACTTTTTAATAGAAATGAGAAGTGTTTTGTGAGACGATAAAAAAAAGAAGAAAAGTTTTATGGGACGGAGGGAGTAATATTTTTTCACATATAGTCTCTACTCTCTAATTATGAAATAATTTTCAAAAGTTGAATATGATTTATGAAATACTCCATCCGTATCTCAATAAGGGAGACTAAATATAGAAAACACATACGGAGTATAATTGAAAACCATTTAGGTAGTGTTTGACAACTAGCATTACATTTCAATTCTTGCATTTCAATTCTTGCATTTCAATTCCAAAATTTAAAATCTTGAATTTCAAATGACGAGTGGAGGTGCATGGATTTCAAATTAAGTTTTGTTATGAATGAGAAGAATTTGACTCAAATCTAAATTTAAAAATTTTTGAGTTTCCCAAACATAGAATTTGAACCAAATCCGAATTTGAAATTCAAATCAATGTTCTCAAACATACCATTAGGTAGTGTTTGGCAACTAGGATTTCATTTCAATTCATGTATTTCAATTCCATAATTTGAAATCTTGAATTTCAAATGACAAGTGGAGACGCATAGATTTAAAATTAAGCTTTGTTCTGAATGAGAAGAATTTGATTCAAATCCAAATTCAAAATTTTCAAGTTTTCCAAATATGGAATTTGAGCCAAATCTGGATTTGAAATCCAAATCCATGTTGCCAAACATACCATTATGGAATTTACTCTTGCCAATGAATATTGTTCTTTTGACATAAAATCTCATTCTTTGAACATTACTATATATACCACATTCATTCACCAAAGATCTTCTTATTATGCGTTATGAGATTTATTGATTTTATTTTTAAATCAATTTATTTGATCATATGAGTAAAGTTAAAAAATAAAATTTACATAGTAAGATATTATATAAAAAAATTAAACAAAACTAGAATTGACAAAATTATATTATTTCATTAAATAAGTAATAAAAATAAACAAAAACAAAAGTGTGTTAAGTACAAATTATGTTTTCTTGGATTTTTTCATAATCGGAGTTTGAGTTTGTTATTGTGGGTCCCTCACTTCAACTTCCTCTTCCATTTAAATTGATTTATATCACTTTGCTTCTCTAAATCCCGTTTCTTTATTCGTCTACAAATTTCTGTTGTGAAGTGCGGAGTATATTGTCTCATCCAAAGAATTTTTTGTAAATCTGTTTTATTTTCTTTTATAAAATAAGCTTTGTAAAAACGTTTTGCAAAATAATATTGATGTATATTTAATTTATACTACTACGTATAACTTAAGCAATATTCTTACCTTACGACACAGCAAGAATCTAGTAGCACCAGAGGCACATTTTAAAACCTATATAAAAAATTGAAAAAAATACTGCTCCCAATCCCATGGGATTAAAAAAAAGTATTCCTTTTGAATCAAAATTCAAAAGATCCTACCCAAAAATGGCGTCAGTCCTGGGAAAGGCTTTTTGAATCGGTTGTTTCTATACAATTCATTCAAAAACTCTTTCCCACAATTGACGCCAATTTTAGGTAGAACTTTTTGAATCGGTTGTACAGCTAATTCAAAAAGTGTTTACACCAATTTCATCACTACCTTTTGCATGCATCAGTTTACAACCAATTTAAAAAGTCTTTTCTATAGTAGTGCCATAATAATATTTTCAATTTACTATTTCCATAATCGAATTATATTTCTCCCTATGTCTAAAAAAGAGTCACATATAGAAAATAGAGTGCTTCTATGGTACACCTTAGATACATATCATTTTTTGTAAACCTTCTCACATAAAAATGTCTTTTTGTTTTAATTTTATTTTTTTTAAAAAAAATGTTCATTTCCATTGTCCTATGGAACTAAAAATTTACTATTTTTTTTTACTTTGAAGAATGATGAAATAAAGCAAATTGATTCTTTAAATTATCTGTACTTCTTACAATTGGGGAGTAGCAGTTACTCAATGCAATTTTCGACTCTCATCATAGATCATCTAGAGACAGCCGCTCTATGTTTTAAACATAAGTGTTAGACTGCGTACATCTGACCCCTCCCCCTACCCCCTTACCCCACAATGGACAGGAGCAATTGTGGCAAATAAGTAATACTCTCTCCGTCCCAAATTATAATGCATGTTCACTATTTACAGGGTCAAAATCCATTCACTTTCTTTCTCTATTTTCGTTGGCAATTTGATAAAATAAAATATTGTTGTCACTACTAGTTTTGTAGATCTTTTAATGTAGTATTTTGATATATAATGTTTATTTTTTAACTCTATATCATATGTCATATAAAATGATTTGAAAATAACTTTAGTCAAACATCGTAAACCGAAACATACGTTATAAAATGGAACGGAGGGAGTAAGTTACTACTTAAATGAACATTTGTTTTTTAAGTCTACTATGTAGGTACATGGTAAACTTTAAGTCTACTATAGGTTTTGCTTAACATAAGACTGAATAGGTAAAGCGATTGAGAAAAGTAAGGATGAGTAAATTTGAATAAAAATTTTCAAAAAAGAGTATAAAAATGACTGAAAGAGTATTATTGACATTTACCTATAAAAAATAGACTAAAAATGAAAATGAGAAGAAAATAGCATCAGTTAAATATCAAACTCTAGAACTGAAACATTAAGTAGAGACAGAGGGAGTATGAAAAAATAGAGCATACACTCGGATTTGAATCAAAATTCAGTCCAAAAAAGGATAAATTCTCATTTGGAAAAACATTGGGAAGCATTCAGTAATGACACAAGTTTCTGTTGCCAATGAAAAAAACAAAGTCAGTATTACAAAACGAAAAAACAACACAAAACTCCGTTGCAGAAAATAGAGTTGCGAAAATTGAAGAGAAAAAAAAATGTTAATGAAAAAGGATGCATAATAATATCCATAACTAGAGATTGCAAAAGTGCAGAAATATGAATTCATCCCCATAATCTGCTGATGAAGCCACTTTTCTTGTCTTTTCGCATCCTACTGGCAAGCGACGGGAAGTCGATGAGTTCAAACGCCAAGTCCATGAAAATAGGGTTGCGGGCTACAGCCTCAAAGGGCGGTGGAAAGACTGCAATGCGGGGAGGAGCCGCCTTCACATTGGAGTCACCAATGGCGGATTCGTAACAATCCAATTTCTCAACCAGAAATTTCTCCACCTGAAACAGGGTTTTAAGGCAAGCGTAAGTAAAAACACGTACTCCCTCCTCCGCCGATGAGTATTTGACCACTTTTGACTTTTTTGTCAAAATTAGCAAACTTTGACCACAAGTTAAATAAAATTGATATGAGATATTGATACAAAAATGAATTTATTAGATTTATTTCATATAAAATATTTTTAAAATATTACTTTATCTAACTAGTATATCATACATATTTTATTTAATTATAGGCCAAAGGTTGAAAATAGTTTACTACAAAAAGTCAGAACTAGATAAATACTCAGGGACGGATGTAGGTATGTTTCAACCTACATCCATGCATTTTATTTATGCTCTATCCAATTGATATGAAAAAGGATAAAAACCATAGACAGGGGTCTACAAGAGTACCTTTTTCTCATTTCCACTTAATGAAATAGCTGATATCTTTTTTGAGAGATTTTCAGGAGCCTTCTCCAGCTCCATAATTCCTCTAGCATGCTCTATGCAACTGTGGGATCTACTCTCGTCCGATAACACTTTAAGATGATCATTGACTATGACCTGGTTTGAAAAGGAAGGAGAGTTAATTGGCTGAAGTCAGAATAAATGGCATTATCTTGTTCCATACCATTGTCTCAGACAAGTACACCGGTCACCATCCAGAACATTTCACATGTGTCAATAAAAGGTCTACTTAATACTCCCTCTGTCTGAAAAAAAGACTCCTTATGTCCTTATTGGGACGTCCCAAGAAAAGACTTTCCTTTTAAGGAAAACTTTGAGTAGCTCACAAACTTTCTCCCTCTTTTGCATCACTTTCAACCACACATTTTCTTTTTTCTTAAATTTTGCTCAAGTCAAACTAAGAGTTTTTTTTTTTTTTTTGAGGGGGGGGGTGGGAGAGGAACGGAGGGAGTATAATCTCAATGGACATGTAGTGACTAGTGGGATTTAGCTAAAGATAGTAAGCTCTAAACAACAGTCAATGTACTCCTTGATCAATGATTACGTGTATGGACTAGTCTTTATAAACGTGACACTTCAGAGAAGTCACGTTGTAGTCGATTTCTTGCTCGAGCTCTTTTGTTTCGTATTCGAAGGCAGGAGAAAGGCCGTTTTGATATACTAAACCGGTTCATCTTCGTGGACGTTTCTGTAAACTCCAAGGAAGTTAGTCAAACTCGGAGGTGAGTTTAGAAGAAAAAAATCAGAATATATTTTAGAGATTATTAAAAAAAGACAGATTGGGAAACATAGTAAGTAATATCAAGAGAGCCGTGAATCCCGTGATTGCTGAAACTTGCAAGATTTGCACATTCTAAAGTCAATACAAGTTCATCATTTATACACCTAAACAATGGAAAAGGTTTGAAACGAATGGTAAAGGTATGAAATTAGGAATGGAAAACATTTTGGGAAATAGCATAAAATGGAGAAGGGAAGTGGACCCAGAACAAAAGTTTAGAATGTGACCGAATTTTGACTAATTTAAAAAATTATTCTTCCCCATGGTGGACAAATGTAGCATTCATTTGGAGGGGTGAAACATGGCAACCAAATTGGAGGATGGAGAGAAGAAATGTTACATAAACTGAGAAAACAAAGGAGATAACAAGTGGCATACCGTTGTGCCCGGAAAACCATACTCTTCAGTTCACATTCTTCAGCAAGTGCCACTTCTTCTGCTTTTCTATCTCTTCCTGAGCTAACTAAATCAGAAAGGTCAGATATGTTCTGCCAAAAGAGAGACAATTAATACAGCTGTTGCATAATAATAAAAATAATAATCATAATAATAATAACAATTATCATCATCACAATTGACAATAACAATTATAAGAATAATAAAAAATCATCATCAGCATCATCACTAATGTTACCTACCGCAGTCTAAATTGTCTCTTGGATTTCACATTGACAACATTGCAGTTTGATTCTATTCTTACCTGTATCAAGAGATCATACAGCCGGACAAGCTCTTCTGGCTTCGTTACTTTTTCATTTTTATCATCTCGGACCTTATTGAACTTACTTTTCACTATGCTAACCAATAACTGGTTCCGTTCAATAGTTCGCTGTCCTAAAATGGCACCAATGGCTTTATCAAGGCCGTTTAATTCATCTTTCACATTTTCAGAACTGGCTGCAGTAACCTAAAGGAACCACATAATTGGTGTCAGTTTTCAATAGTTATGCATAAAGTAGAACCATACTCTTCAAAATCATTGCTATCATCAAAAGGTTATGAAGTATGATTATTTGAGCTCAAGAGACCATTTGATACGGACTGGTGAAAACAATTGTATCGTTCTTACCAAATCACTGCGGATGTTGCTTCTGGCTTCATGGTATGCTGCAAATATCTTGTCAAACACAACAAGTCTCTTCTCTGCTGGAAGAGAGTCGCCTGCTGGATCATGGATTTCTCTCTCTAATTCCTGAGCTGATCAAATGTGTAGGGAAATTCAATAGAATGCAATTGTCTCAAAAATGTTATGACAGAATTTGATTAGCACACTCCAAGACTATACAACCAATTTGTATGAGAGCCAATGCAGTAAAAGTGTCAAACCTCTAACTATAACCTCATGTGATAATAACCTCTATAGTTGTATATTATGCTTAGTTTTTTTCATATATGGTATTTAACACCTTATACATGTCACACTCTTGTTTTTCTTGCTTTTCCGCTAGCACTGTAGCTAATAATCATGTGCATAGCTAACTAGTATGCCATGTATAATTTATGGTAGCTTTCAGATTGTATATTTGTATCCTAAAATCCTTTTTCGTTTCCTCTCTAGTTTAACTTTTTACCTTGTTAAAAATGTAAATTTATCGATATACTCCCTCCGTCTATTTTTTATCTTCCTGCTTTGACTGGGCACGGAGATTAAGAAAAGTTAAAATTTACATTGACTTTCCTAAATTACCCCTGCCCCTCTCCCCCACATCCAACACAGTACTCTGTATTCCTTTTTCAGCCACGGAACAACAGCAGCAACTAGCAAAATCAATCTTTTTTGACAATCAAATAATTTGAAACAATAGAAGGCTAGAAAGGGCGGAGAATGCTAACAATACCATGTGTCCTCCCGTGCAATCAGGTAAAGAAAAAATCTAAAATTGGGTTGATAAACAACAGAAGAAACACAACAGTTTGACGTCCAACTGAACCAGATGGTTTCTCCTGGGACAAATTTTCCCACTGACCTTTTAATATAGAAACCCTAGTTTTTGGGTTTGAAATTGGAAATGTATGACCGAGCCAGTTGAACTCTGTCATGGATGCAGCCTGCTGAGCTCTAGCCTCAGCCATAGCAGCCTGCAAATAAAGAAAACCCATGTCATATATAAAAACATAAATAAACCTGGTTACAATTCTGCAGGACCTAAAAGTAAAATAAAGATTACAGTAGATGAATGGATAAATCAATCAAGCACATGGTAGTTAATCAAATAAATGGCTCACCTCTAATTTGGCTTTGAAAAGGTCAAGGGCAGGCCCTTCCATTTCACCTATGTGTATAAGCCCAGAAGTCTGCAATTTTGACTCACCAATCTTGTGCAAACAATAGCGTATACTTGGTTCTAGTTGCTCAACATGCTCACGGCATAAAATTTGGTTCTCTAGATCTCCATATTTGCCAAGCTCCTCATAAACAGCCCTAAGAAGCTATTAAGGTCAGCTAGGTAGCAGAGTGCAAGGGCAAATAAATTCATTAGTTCTAAGACATACAATCCAATGCTTTGGGTTTTCCAATGATCTTTGGCTCAAGAAAACATAAAAACAAGCTAGAACAATCAAATACTCCCTCCGTCCCAAATTAATTTGCTCAGTGACTTCATGGAGATTAAGGAAAGTGTTGATTAGTGAAAGTGAGTGGTTAGAATTGCTTTTAATTAGAGAGAAGTATTTTGGATCACATTCTTTTCTAAAAAGGGAAAGAGAAAGTAAGAAAATTATTTTGGGACAATTGGAAAACGCAAGGGGAAAACTTTTGTGGGACGGAGGGAGTATTAAAGATGAACAAAAGGGTAGACAGCTGCAGAGTACAGAAAGAAAGAGGTGAAGGCCCCTCTCTGGACACTCCTCAAGACCTCACACCCTCCTACAACCCGAGCCCTTCCGTGTCCGATTAACTGGTTCTCATTAAAGCTTTTTAAATACAAAAATAAAGTTGAGTTGAATTATACCTGGCACTTTTAAAACATTTGACTGCAATGTCCCAATTCTTATCTTGTTCGAACAACAGATTCCCTTTCATATATGCAGCATAGGCCTGCAGTTAGAAAATCTTTTTTTTGTAAATTATAGCATTTAACAGATGATGCTTACAAAAAGCTGAAACCTACAAATGGGTAACACTTATCATTAAACAAATTTTAAGGAAAATTGATTGGATATAAGAGCATTCATTGTAGAAGAGCATGACCTAACTACCTAAGGTTACATGATTACAGCCACACTTTAACCTAGACATTTTGTCACTCACCACATTATTTATTAACCTTGAAATAAATAAAATAAGTAAACTTATTTCTTCACTGAGAGGGAAAAGAATCATCCCAACTTGCCAAGAACTAAGAGACTATAAACAAAAATTAATAAAATAAAATAAATAAAAGGCAATCATTGGAGGTGGGAAACGAATCATCAAATATCAATAACATAAATAAGCAAACTTCTTAAACCTAAGTACAGTTGTTAGTATTTGTCCTTTACTGTATTGCAAAGAACCTTAATATTAATCCAATATATTCGTGTTTAGTCTTTCAATGACCTTACCATTTCTTCACATTCTCTCAAAAGTGGGTGGGGGTGAGAGTTAGAAAATTCATGAATTTTGAAGGTTTTGAAGAATTTCTTTAGTTTGTGCAGTAAGGTTAATAGAAAGATTATAACCTCTGGTCTTCATAACAAGCTCTACAATAGAAGATTTTGTCTGTTTAAAAAAATCATTTTTTACAAATTTGTCACAAGAGAAAAACGATATTAAAATCCTACGGTGTCATTGTCTATGGCTGTAAAACGGTAGCTTAAGATCAACTAGATCAAATCGCTATATGAAAGCATGAAACAATTAATTGAGTACATGAAAACATGAGGGCTCACCTCTGCTTCCAAGGAAGTCCTGGAGTCTCCTTTTATGGCACACAATTCCTGAAACAATGTAGCCCATTTAACTGCTTTTCTCAATCTGCCAATGAGGTAGCTCTGTTGCCGTGCATTAGGACCATCACGTAAAGTTTTCTTTTCCATAGCATGACTCCAGGCTCTCTCAGCAGTGTAAAGAGCCAAGTGAAGGAACCTGCATTGGACCCAAAGAATGTTCGCTAAGCTTTAATTTAAAAAAGTCTAGTAGTTCCATTGAATAAAATATAAAGCAAAACAAAGTTTAAAACATTTAACTCTCAGCAATTTAAATAAAAAAGAATTCCAAACCCTCTGTTCTTCCACAGATTTTACTTGAGAATCCATTCATTGCATTGGACCCAAAGAATGTTCGCTAAGCTTTAATTTAAAAAAGTCTAGTAGTTCCATTGAATAAAATATAAAGCAAAACAAAGTTTAAAACATTTAACTCTCAGCAATTTAAATAAAAAAGAATTCCATACCCTCTGTTCTTCCACAGATTTTACTTGAGAATCCATTCATTTTTTACATAAAAAAAATCCTGTAACAATTAAAATGCTTCTATGGTTCCACAATTTTAATAATGTTGAAAATATTTCAATATATTTGTTGACTGAAATGATGTATCCAAACACAATTGCAAAAAAATAATTCAGGTTGCAATGGACAAACCTTACTTCAGTGACTATGACTGCTGTAATTGCACGTTTGGTATACTTCCCACGCCCGTGGGTGAACTTCAGTGATTTGTACAATCGCCTCAACCGGGCAGTGCAATACCTCCTGTGCACTCAATCATTCGATGAGCATTCAATTTTCTAGCCACATTAGTGCAATGATCACAATTTTTACATATTGTGCATCTAAGTTATCAATCAAAAAGAAAACCAGTCTTACCGGTATCTAGTATAGTCACCAAAGCGCAATCCATGCTGCATTTGAGCAGATTTCAACAGCTGCAAAACTATACAACACCAAATTGATGGCCCAGATTATAAATTCAAAACAGATGCAGAAGCACATGAGATAACACATGACCTGTAATTTTCTTCTCATTTTCTTTTTTGGACTGTGATAAAGCTTCCTTTCTATTTCCTAAAGAAAAATTTGTTGATATATTTTTCTCTTTTTAAAAATAAACCACAACTACATACTTTTATTCTCTAAATAAGCAAATCAAGTCAAAATGGAAAGAAAATTTTAGAAAAGTGGTGCAGTAATCAAGTGTAACCAATGAAACTAACGGCTAAAAACATGCACATATTTTTATGCAACCATTATCAGTGGATAATATAACAACATCATATAAAAAAGAAAGCGAGGATAGTGGAAAGAACCATTGATAGAGAATTTGGGATTGTTGATCTGATCAGCATGATTTGAATTTAATTCTTCTATTTCCATAGCAGAAGCACTGTTTTCATTTGCCATTGGATCTTGAATTAAACGGATCTTAGAAACTGTTTGAATCTCCTGCTGTGACTTCAATCTCTGGCAGTTCCCTCCTGCTGGCAATTTGTGAATAGTGAATAGTGAATAATGAGTTGTTTTTACTTTTTTAGTAAATCTGTATAATCTGATAAGATTTGGATAAGGTGGAGATACTCCACCACCCCTCCAATATGGAATCTAGATATCAAATTCATCCTTCTCATTCCATAAAGACGGTTGGTAAAGTAATTTCAAGTGGAGTTAACTCCACGGTATCTAAATCTTATCTTTTAGGTCCTCCGCCTCAGTTTAAGATTAGAAGAAATGGTACACAAATTAATGGGAAAACAGTTATGTTTAATGCTATTAATATTTAATGTATAAAGAATGAATGATTTTGAACTATATGTCCACTGCCAATGAAGCTAAAAGCGTTGTAATTGACAATGTTTTAGCTTGGATAGATAATGAACTAAATTGAAAGGGCACACTAAACTTCCTCCGCTTCGTACTTCCAATGTAATTTTGGGTAGTAAATACAACAATGCATCAAACGTCTTATGGAAACAGACTTTCTTCATTTTAAATGGGTAAGGTTGTGTACATCCTGATCCCAAAACCCAAACAGAGTTGAGATTATACTAGGTTGTAGTTGTTGAATGATTTTGAACTACACAAATCATTATTTTCTTTTTCGTTTGTCCTAAAATTTTCTTATTTTCTTTCAAAGAAATGGGTCTGTCGTTCATTATATTCTATCTCTTCAAAATAAACTTTATTTCTAAAAGAGAAAAAACATGGATTAAGGGAGTATATATTATGAACTTATATTACACAGAGGCAGTTCTAAATGATGGCAAACAATTTTTTCATTTTGTCAATGCCAATGCACTAATACTACTTTTTTACATGGTGCACTAAAACTTCTTTTTAGTTGGAAATAAATGTGTGCAATCTCATATCCCAATCAAAACAAAATTCAATCCATGAGGTCCCATCTCTAAAAATTGGGACTACATTCCATGTGTCAAGCAATCAAGGTATAAGTGTTGCTCCCTCCATCCCAAAAATTACTTGACGTTGGGTTTATATCAAAATTTGTGTAGAAATATAAAATGCTCGGGTAAAATTTAAATATTTAAAGACTACATGAAAAGATCTATAAATCAAGAGGTGACATGACTGTGTTAACACATTTTATGATAAGTCAATAATTGCAAAATTTCTCATCTCAAACATTTGAGTGAAACTCTAAGATTTTCTTTCTCAACCCCAGGTCAGCTTCCAAAGATTCAACGTCAACATTTTCTTCTTATCCATTCTCATTCAAAATAGTTTTGAATGACCAACTACTTCTTATAATAGTTGGTGTAGAACTAGAGGTTCATTTGAATTCATCTCAGAATTACTCCCAATTGGTTCAAACTCTTTAAACATTGATTCTTTCTTAAAATATCTTTCCACCCAATTACTACTAACCAATTGCTAACGTATCAAATTACTCAAAAAATCACAACACATTGGCTAATACTCCATAATCAACAATTAGCAGGGGATCACAATTGAAAAAAATCAGCTATCAAAAATCAACATAAACTAAAAAGTGAACTCGCCGTTGAAAGTTAGACTGATTACTGAACTTTTTAAACATGAATCACGTAAAAGATCAGGAAGTTGAGCGACGCGTACAGACCAATGTGTCGGATCATAGGTGTGCTTGAATCACATCTGTGGAGAGCAGAGGTTTGAGCATCGTCTTTGACAGAAATGATAATCACATGTCGGAAATCCAAGAGATTCAAGAGGTATCCGACAACTTAATTTTTTAATACTCCTTCAATCGAAAATTCATCCTCAGCGACTCATAGGTTCCACCGAATCCTTGGGGTATAAATTATCTGCCAGGCTTCCGCCTCTATGTCATTTGCATTATGCCCTGCCCTTCTGCTTTGTGGTAAACACGCACAAGTACACAAATTGAACCTGCGTTCTGCGGCTTCTGCCCCGATGTTTTTTTTGTTAAGCTATGTGTTCTATTGAATATTATATATATATATATATATACATACATACATACATATATATATACATATATATATACATACATACATACATACATATATATATATATATATAATGGGATTTTGTAATCTCACACCAATTCCCTATTACACCACTAATTACACCATTCCATATACACCACTAATCTCTTCTCTCTTTTCTTTTTCAGTCCAAACCTGCCCCTTTCTTTTTCAGTCCTGACATCGACGCATCTCCTTCCTTCCGCATTCATCTACATAGACGCCTCCCTCACCCAAAACTGGATTCAGGTACGCCCTCCTTGTTTTGTTCTTCATTCTTAATACTCAATTTGCAGACCTCCTCCGACAATCCACCTCTTTCCAATCCGGTCCGTCTTGCTCGATTTGTCGTTGTATTGGTGTATAAGTACATTAAATTTGATTTTGTAATTCGAACTGAAGCAAATGTTGATGTTATAATTTATGAGTATTTGATTTTGTATGTGGCATCGTTGTTTGATTTTGTACAAGCAAATTTTGTATATGAAATGAAGCAAATTTTGATGTTATAATTCATGTTGTTGATTCAAGCTACTTTTTATTTGCAATTGAACCTATATTTGATGTAATTGAATATAAACTTGCATTCAATTTGATATTTTGTTCATTACTGCCCTTATGCAGGTTGGTTTAGCTCTTGTAGTTTAGACTGAAATTTATTAACTGAGTTATACTCCCTCCATCCATTTTTTATGTTCATACTTTGACTCGGCACGGAGATTAAGAAAGGTTAAATTTTACATTGACTTTCCAATTATGCCCTCCCCACTTTCCCTGCCCCACTATACAGTCACCCACTCATGCCCGATCCGACATCTTGAATCGCCGGCATAGCCCGCCGCCCAACCCTATCATTCCAAAATCCGAGAGATTCCGGCAATCCATCGCAGAGAAGGTTGGAAAAAAATAAAAAAAGATGAAGAAGACTGGAAGAAGAAGATCCTTTGTCGGTCCTAAAATCCTTCATAGATCTGAATTATATTTCTAAGATCTTAACAAAATCTGAATAATCCGAAGAAGAAAATGAAAATCCAAAGAAGAAAATGAAGAATCCAAATTTTTAAACAACCAATTTTTAAACTAGCGGCAGTAAACTTACTCCAAATTGAAACTCTAAATAAAACAACCAATTTTTAAACACAATTGAAACTCTAAATAAAACACTAATATAATCTAGAAACTCTAAATAAAACACTAATATAATCTAGAAACTCAATTTCAAATCTACACAATCAAATTGAAAATCAAATTTGAAATTCCAGGCTGCGTCGATGTAGATGAGGAGCAAACTAAGATGAGGAGCCGATGAGAATTTGAAATACCTGGCAATGGAAGATGAAGAGCCGAGAAGAACGAGCCAGCGTGGTTTACCTCGCTGCTTGTATGTAGATGAATGTCTAAGGAAGGAGATGCTTCGATATCTGAACTCTGAACCGAAAAAGAAAAGGGGCGGTTTGAACGGAAAAAGAAAAGAGAGAAGAGATTAGTGGTGTAGATGGAATGGAGGGTGAGATTAAAATTGGAAATTGGAGTGTAGATGTACTGGTGTAATAGGGAAGTGGCATGAGATTACAAATTGGAGAGTGTAGATGGACTGTAGATGTATACACACACACACACATATAGAATCTTACGATTCATGTCACGATCTTATGATTTAATGATTTTTACTTTGTACGCTGAAAACAAATAGAATATCGGGATTGACTGCCTTGGATGCATTGCTGCATCTACTGTCCAATGCTTAGTAAAGAGTACGAAGCAAGGAAAACTTAATGTGTCACTTGGATTTAGTCTATTAATTACCTAAAGCTAGAACATTTTCTAAGATGATTTTTTTTTGTTCCACGGGCAATGGAAGCAATACTAACCATTTTAAACGATCAGCATACTCATATGTCACAACCAACATAAACTGAAAATTATCTTGATTACAAAATTAACTATCGACATGAACCAACATAAAATGAAAAAGACAGATTTAATCAACAATACAATTTGAACATTTACATCAGTAATGAAAAGAAATCTCAAATCTATTTCAAATTATAGGTTTCCGACTTAAAGGTGTGCACTACTTCCCTTTTTGAATAATTTAAATCATAAAAATTTGAATTGAAAAATGTAAGAAGGTTAGATAGGGGTCGAACATACCTGAAATTGATGATCCTCTGTTATACGTCAGAGTTGTCGCCGGCGACCGGAAATTGCAGGAGGAAGCAGCCCCGCCAAATGCAGGTCTTCAACTCTTCCTTAGTCTCCGCCTCCACAGCTGTCGTGCAGGAGTACGATCAGAAATCGCACAATCTGTCTCCGAGCCTCCTTCCCTTGCCGCCGCGCAGCCGTCCTCCTCTGATATGAGTGGCTTCGCCCCCGTACTTGGTCGTAGTTTGCTCTGCAACCCACCGTGGGCAACCTAGTAGATATAAATGCAATTACAGAAATGCCACTGAATTATTTTATTTTATCAAAATTGTACTCCATAACTCTGTTAGCTTATTCGCGTATAATACACTAAGGGTGTGTTTGGTTGGAGGTAGGTAAAAGTTTTATTAGGTAGGTAATGGTAGGCAAAATGTGTTTGGATGTTTATTAGGTAACGTGAGGTAGGGAAAGAATAAAACTGCAAAAAACGAAGTACAATAACAAAACTACAAAAACAGAGTACTCAAAATTGCACATTTGTAGAAAAAAACAGGAAAAAAAATAACCAGAAAAAAAAACACAAAAAAAGAAGAAAAGAAAACAGAAAAAAACTGAGATGAACCGCAGAGATGAAAACTATGAGATCAAAACTGAAAAAAAAAGTGAAAATTGAAGTAATGATAAAAAAAAGTAAGTTAGCAGCGACTAGGTGATGCCGGATTAGGTGATGCGAAGTAAAACTGAAAAAAAAACTAAGAAATGCTGGAATTACATCTGCAGGGTCGAAAATTAGATTGACAGGGAATTAGATCGGCTAAGCAAGGCTGAAAATTAGGTAGGCAGGGCCGAAAAGCAAGGCTGAAAATTATATCGAATACATCTGAGCATGGCCGAAAATACCTGGAGATCGGAACAGTGAAGATGACGATGCGGGTGAAGATGGTTTCCCTGCTCTGCGAACGACGGATGAAGATGGCGATAGGTTTACCTTCCTTTGATATTTAGGCGGTCAGCTAAAATGAGACTAACCCTACCTCACTCTGCCCCTAGCTAAAATTAAACCTATCTCTCCTACCTCCAAACAAACTAATTATGTGCTCTATGTATAGTACGCGTTGTATGTTCTTGAATATAATATTCGTATTTCTAAATGAAATTTGTACTAAATATGACTAAAACATAAGTCATTTCTTAATGTAGGACTTAAACTTTTTTATTTCTTAAATAGGACTTAATAATGACTAATGAAAAGAATAATATTTAAGTGATGCTGGACATTTAGTTGAATAATGACCAATGGTCCTACATTAGGAAATAAAAACATATGATCATATATTGAAAAAGTCATTATGTTTTAGTCCTATTTAGGTAAATTACTCTATTTTTAACCCAAAAGGTATTTACGAATTTTATATGTATTAAATCGTAAAGATCCTCTTCTAACGACTCGATCAATAAAAATTTAGAAGGTCAAATTTGGACCGGATTAATTTACTTGATTGTCTTTCTCCCAAATCTATAAATCTTTAAAATTTAACAACTTAGCAATTGTAAAAGTATTAGAGTCATCCACCAACGTCCTTTCTTAATTAAATACTCATTCACATTCTATCGGTCTCTTTGAGTCCATCCGGCTTAAAGAGGAACATTCCAACCGCTCTAGCAAATAGTATAGAACAACATTTTCTCTATTTGTTTAGATTTTTAAAATGTAATTATTTTTTTGTATTTAGTTCATGAGTTTAAATATCTATCCGTGTTTACAAATACAAATTTGATTTCATTTGTGTCATCTGAATTTTAAAAATCTAAGTTCGTAATTGTATTCTTCATTCTAAAAATGAAAAATATAAAGTTGATTTCATTTTACTTAATTTTAAATTGGTTAAAAGATTACTTAGTGAGTTCATATATTACAAAGAGACTTGAATCTTCCTTAAAAATTCAGCATTTAATAATTTCGTAAAATTTAAATTGTCTAATAATATGTTTTTTGTCATGTCTCAAATGCTCCTTTTGTGCCTAAATATTAGCTTCATTTTTAAGAACGTGTTCGTACTTTGATTACATTTTGTTGAAGTGCATAATAATTGTTAGATTGAAAGATCTTCTTTAGATATACATTGAAACAATGAATAAACATTCAACTGTAGTGTTGGTTAAAATTTTAGAATTTTTATAGTGTATTTGTACTCATTTTCTAAGATTAAATTGTCTTTGTTATTAAAAATATTTGCACTCATTATTATAAGCCGTGTTTTTTAAAAACAAAACGTATAAAACACGAATGTATCCGTATTCGTACTCCAAACATATAAAACGTATAATTAGACGTATTTTAAAATTATGATCCTTATTAAATACGTACGACTAATGTATTATACCCATATATGAAGAAGCTAACAGAGCTCCGTGATGACCGTAAATGCCAATTTTATATTGTCACTGAACCAATTAAAGTTATCAAAAATATTGGTGAAATAGTAGTTAGAATGATAAAAAAATTATCACTCCCACTATTTTTTACCCATGTAAGTGATTTTAATATTATTCTTTTCATTCACTAATGGCAGATCTAGGAAAAATATTGACCATGGGCATCATTTGGTAAGAACAAGATGGGTCTCGATGCAGTACCCCTGAATTTTTTTATCTAAAGGCATTATGAAATTATGATAAAAAAATAAATTTCATAACAAACTAATGGAATATTATAAATTGTTATGCTTTAAATCTTGTGTCTTTATCTATTTTCACAAAAAAAACTGATTTAATATGAGTCACACTTAATAATTTTATGCAACAATCCACTTTAATACTCTGTATCATGTTAGGAAAAAGATAACGAGCCCTTCTCCCGATATGAAGGCGTTAGGCTATCAATGGGTGTACCATACTAAATTTCGTTCTGATGGCACTAAAGAGCGATATAAAGCCTGCCTTGTTGTCTTGAGTAATCATCAGGAATTTGGTACGACCTATATTAACACTTTTGCACCGATTGCAAAAATTAGGACAATGGTATTCTTTTGTCTGTTGCAGTTGCTAGGGGTTAAGAAGTTCACCAACTTGATGTGATTAATGCCTTTTTAAACCGGGATTCAATTGAAGAAGTTTACATGCAATTGTCGCTGAGTTTTTCTATTCCTGGTAAAAAGTGCCGTTTACGCGAATCTTTATATAGCTTGCATCAATCACCACATAACTGGTTCCATAAGCTTAGCACTGTCATACGCTAATGGGGCTTCAAAAATGCCCATAAGGATTACACTTTATTTATTTTTTGGTGTGGTCCTGATATTTTGACAATTTTGGTGTTTCTTGATGACATTCTTGTTGCAGGCAACAATGCGCCTATATATGCTTTCTTCAAACATTACTTGGATCGGTATTTCCAGCTGAAAGGTTTGGGTCCCGTGAAATATTTCTTAGGTATTGAATGTGCCCGTTTTTCGTATGGGATGGTTTTATCCCAACGTAAATATGTATTGGAAATTTTACAAGAGGCTGGGTTGTTGGGGTGTAAATTGGTTGCCACTCCACTCTCTTCGTCTTGTGGGCCATCTCATCTATTTGACCATTACCCGGCCGGATATCTGTTATGCAGTTCATGTGTTGTCTTAGTTTATGCAAGCACCCACCATGGATCATATGATTGCCGCCATGCGTGTTCTTCGCTATATCAAGGGCCACCCAAGTCAAGGAATTTTTCTCGATGCTAGGAGTAATCTTCTAAATTCTGCTTATTGTGACTTTGATAGGGCAAGTTGTCCCTTGTCTCACCATTTTGTTAGAGGGTATTTTATTATGTTTGGTACTTCTCTTGTCTCATGGAATACCAAAAAGCAAACCACGGTTTCCGATCTTCTACCGAGGCTGAATACATGGCCATGACAAATGCTTGTGTAGAAGTCCGATGGATGCGAGGAATCCTTGGTGCTCTTATCTATATTACACATTTTCCCAAGATATTTTCCAAAGATATCTTTCCAAGATATATTAGAATTTTATTACTATTAATAAAATGATATTAATTAATGATAATAATTAATTGAAATTTATGGAGATCGTAAATTAAATATAGCGATTACCACATTGACATAATTAAATGCTTTTTCCAAAGTTAACGTATTTGATGCGCTTTGCCATTTTAATCAACTTTTTTTAATTAATTTTGAATTTCATTAGTACAACAAAGTATTAATAATAGGGGCTATCTTAAACAAAATAGTATTTATAGTGTAAAGTCATTAATTTGAATTTTTCATTGCCAAACTTCCATATCCTTTACTTATTATGTTTCCAATTAGTTTTTTATTTGAGTTTTCTTAAAACAAATTCATGATGGACATTGGTGTTCAAATGCCATGAACAGAGAACGTAATGAAATCAATATTAAAGAAGAATACACCAATTCATTAAGCATAACATTGACCATTGAAATATTAAAAGACATGAAATTAAATTAAAACCAAACCCAAAAATGTCTTCTAAGAAGCAAAAACTTGAAATATAGATTCGTCAAACACATGTGATTTAAATATCACTATTTCTCCATCTTGGTAGTCTTTTGCTTTTTATTTTCTGCACTCGAATCGAACTCATCTTGTAATAAAGATCTCTTCACAAGATCTGTTTCACCTATTGTTTCATCTTTTCTTGGTGTGCACACTTGTCTCAAAACCTTCATATTATCTTTAGAACCAATCTGCAAATACCAACATTTTTTTAAAAATGTATCTTTAAAATATTAAGCTATTATATATTTTAATTATATCTATTGTTTTATTGGTAAAAAGTTGTGAATAAAAATACCATTTCCAAAAAAATTGTTGTTCTTATCATGTTCTCTCACGACTTGTTCAAATTCATCAACCAATTCAGAGCTTTCATACCGCGATACGATAGATTTATCTCTTATAAGTTCCAAAACTCTATAAGAATTTCTAGAGACATAGGAATTATTCTCAATATCTTCTATAATGTATACACAAAATAAAGCTCTCATTTCAACTATGTCTTGGATCTCATTTGGAATCTTATTTGATTCAATGGGCCTCTTTATGATTGAAAAAATGATTCATTAAATCCCACAATAAATAGAGTTTAAGAACATACATAAAATCTAATACCTCATCCATCAAAATCCTCATCACACTTGCTGGCATTCCAAAACACTCTTTATCCCACATGATAAGTGTAGCAGTATTAGTATTATCCTTAACACAAACGCTAACATAATACCTAATAACATACATCATTAATATATATATATATATATATATGTGTGTGTGTGTGTGTGAGTGTGTGTATATATATATATATTCATATATGGGGTGTGGGTTCCTAACATTATACTCCCTTCTATCTCTGAATATTTGTCTATTTTTGACTTTTTTCAGTCAAAATTGAAAAACTTTGATCTTAAATTAAATAAAAATGATATTAGATATAGATAAACAATAATTTCATTAAACTTATTACTCCGTATATAAAATATTTTTAAAATATTGTTTTATCTAATTAATAAACAATATATATTTTATTTAATCATAAGTCAAATATTGAAAATACTTAATCAAAAGTTAGACAAATACTGAGGAAGGATATAGAATGGCCAGAGAAAAATGCTACATGTACCCCAAAGTGATACTAAATGTAGGTGCAAAACTAATATTATGCAAATGGTGCACTTATTTGGGCAATGCTTTGGGTACATGCTCCATGGCCAAATGGTCTAAAAGCCTTGAAACCACTCCCCCACTGTCGAACCAGATGTGACCGCCGCCGTGCAACGGCTAAATGTACGGGGATAGGTCGGCATTTGAACAGTGTCTGGCTCCATTTCGTTTTTTGTTCATGAAGAAACTCCAGTAATTGTACTAGGGTTAAAAAGGGGAAACTGTTCACATCCAACCAATTGTGTTGATTCTTCTGCGAGAGTGCCTCTGAAAATGGAGGTAGAAAGAGAAGTGCTCTGCCCGCAAAATGAAGAACTGGTTGTGTACATGCGGAGAAAGAGGCAAGAGATGGCTGAAGGCAAGAGAGGGATATCTGAAAACATCGATAAGACTATTAACAGGGCGTACGCCAATGTATGTGGCTGC